TTCCCCACCTTGTCTCCCTTTCCATTAACACCTCGTATCTTTGGTTGTGTGTGCTTTGTTCACAATCTGAGTCCTGGGATAGACAAGCTGGGTGCACGCTCTATTAAGTGTGTCTTTCTTGGCTACTCTCGGACTCAAAAAGGGTACAAGTGTTACAATCTCATTACTCGGAAGTGCTATGTTTGTTCTGATGTAACCTTTTTTAAGTCTGTCCCCTTCTTCTCGGGACATAAAGCATCCATGTCTCCACCTTTGCTTCCTCTTCCTCTTCCAGTCAGTGATCCCGTTCTGGGTGTTCCAGTTGAGGTTGACCTTTCACCTCTGTAAAATAAGAGTAAACAGAGGAAGAAGATGAATTTGTTATATTATTCATCAATCTCGTATGTATATATACAAGTTACAAATTCTATGTTAGGAAAGAATATATTAGGAAAGAAGACTAATCAAATTCCTACAATCAAGGTAAATCATATCTCCCTAGTATTTACTTCCTATTTTAGTTATACAGTCTGTAACATCATATCTCCCTAGTATTTACTTCCTATTTTAGTTATACAGTCTGTAACATCTTCCTATTTTAATTATACAGTCTGTAACAACCTCCTCTAGTGCAGATCCCTACTGAATGACCACCGATCCGGAACGTGTATACTCATCGACAGACACCGGCTCCTCCTCCAGCTTCTACCTTGTCTACGGATCCTGTTGTTGCTCCTGTCCCAGAACCTTCAGGACTTGATCTTCCCATTGCTTTACGGAAAGTTAAACGTGTTGTACCCTCCATCCCATTTCAAATTTTGTTTCAGTCTCTCGCCTTTCCACTTCACATCGCCAGTTTGTTTCACTGCTATCATCTATTTCTATACCTAAGAATGTCCGAGAGGCTCTTAGCTCACCTGGGTGGCAGTAGGCAATGGAGGAGGAACTCTCTGCCCTTCAACATACTCAGACGTGGGAGCTCACTACTCTTCCTCCTGGTAAGCATGTTGTGGGTTGTAAATGGGTGTATACTGTTAAATACTTGCCGGATGGTAGTGTGGAGCGTCTAAAGGCCAGACTTGTTGCTAAAGGTTATTCACAGTTGTATGAGGTAGACTATATAGAGACCTTCTCTCCAGTGGCTAAGATTGGCTCTGTCTGTGTCTTAATTTCCCTGGCAGTTATGTATGATTGGCCATTGTTTCAACTTGACATTAAAAATGCCTTCCTTCATGGTGACCTTATGGAGGAGGTATATATGGAGCAACCACCTGGGTTTGTT